TGTTGGTTGACTGGTGGCTGGGCCACACAGCATCACCGGTTGCTAGGATGCAGGTGGGAGCACCATAACAACCTATGACGCTGTGGAGTACCCAGAAAGCAACGGTTGCTAAGACGCTGGAGGCCCTGTAGCGTGATTGGTTGTTATTATGATTACAAAACCTCAAGACTCCAAACCGCGAAAGCAGCCGGGCAGAGACAAAGGAGGGGGAGCTTGTGGATGTCGTACCACGGTGGAAGGCGGAATTTGGTTCCGCTTTTGGATAATCTGCTGCACTGCTTCCCTCACCTACCTAGATTGGTGTCACGATCCTCCATTGTTCACTAATCCCTGTTATGAGTATACAACCGCTGACATTTTATATATACCAGGACAAGGGCCTCGTCCAATAGAGGACCGCACTCACCAGCTGCCCTCCCCTAGCCCGGTCTCCGGTGTCCCGGTCGGTTCCGTCCGACGTTCAGCAACACAGAGCTCCGAGCGAGCAAATATCGCGAGGCTACAGTGTCCAATCTGGACACGGGCTCCATCAAAATGGCCGCCGAAGTCCGGAATGGCAGACACATTTTCTTTCACTCTAGGAAGTCAGAGTGCGGAGAGAAAGTGTCCTCAACCGAGAACTCCGGCCGCCATCTTGGAGGAGCCCTGTGCCCGCCATTTTGGGTGAGCCCCGTATCCGGATTGGATGCGCGCCCTGTATGGATTGGGAGCCCTGCGCGTGCACATGAGAATGAGAAGGACATTTGTATGACAGGGGAGGGGTTGTTATAGACATATCTTTTTATGTGGACACTCCATGTTGTAGGGATAGTTAGTAAGAACATATTTGGGGGAATTCATACTAACTAGAGCAGACAGAATCTGGAGCCGTTGCCCACGGCAACCTATCAGCTCTCATTTTCAAAGCTTAACTGAGCAAATTGAAAGGAGAAGCTGATTGGTTGCTATAGCAACTGCTCCCAAGTCTGTCTGCTCCAGTTTTAATGAACACCACCCTTTATCTTTAATCTTAGCCACCAATTTAATGTCTTCCAAAAACAAATACTTTTAAGGCATGGGCCTTCTTCAGCTGTTGTGGAACTACAAATCCCATGAGGCATTGCAAGATTCTACCAGCCGCGGCACCTGACGCCTAGAAACAGATGCATCATGGGATTTGTAGTTTCACCACAGCTGGCTGGCCGTCAGTGTTCTTATTTCAGCTCTCAACCAAACTTTAAAGCCCTGAAATGGCTGAGGCGTGTTCAGTCCCTTAGCCAAGCGCTGAGCAGCTGTTCTGCAGCACTACAGTTCAGTGCAGCAGCTTCACTGAACGCTTCGGCTGCCCAGTGCTAAGCAAAATGGCGGCGGATTCAGTTTTAAACTGCCATTTGTCCAATTTCTACTGTTTTACAGGGGAAACTCCTTATTCACAGTTTTTCATTCACCAAAACATTCAATTGAAGGTTCCCACACCGAATTGTGATTTGCTCCATCGGGGTTCAGGCACCCTTCTCCATCGCTGCCAGGTGTGCCCACAGTTAAAATGGCCGCTGGTGCTCTGTCCCCACCTTCTGCTATGCACATCGCACTCAGTATTCAGGATCCACATTCACTTCCGCTGCGAGTGCTAAGTTAGCAGTGTTGAGCGCTGGCTTGCAGCACAGCGTTCAGCGGCGGTTCGCTAACTCAGCACTCGCAGCGGCTGAGCAACTGAACGCGCCTCAGGTGTCATTGTTGATCACATGTGCAGTCCAAATAAGAGGCTGAGATGGCCCCTTCCATGGGCAACTCTGGTCCTCCAGCTGTGGTGAAACTACTAATCCCATGATGCATCTGTCTCTGGGAGTCATGCCTGCGGCTGTCATACTCATGAGACTTGTAGTTCCCCAACAGCTGGAGGGCCGGAGTTGCCCCACCCTGTTACAAGGCACGCCAACTCCTTATTTCAGCTCTCGGACAAATGTTATAGCCCCCAAATGGCTTGTGTTATAGCTGATCACATTTGCGTCACCGTAGCAACTGCAGTTCAAATAGAGGCTAAGATGGTGCCTCCCTTGGCTGTAAGGGATAGGAGGGCGTAGTTCAGCTTTAATTTCATATTGGGCCGTAAGGTTGTCCCCCATTCCAGGGGGCTCCCCTTATTCGGCCGACAGAGGCCCTTTCCGCCCATGATTTATCATTGTACCATTGGTGGAGGTCCATTGGCTTCCATCCCACCCGACTCAACCAGGGTTCTTGTACTGCGCACATTGAGATTCCAGGAAACGCTAAATAAGTGACCCTCGCTGATATTATCCAATCCTTCCATCGTGGTGCAATGACCTCCATGCAATGACCTCCATATTGCGCATGGCAGTAGATGAATGGGGGGCCCAAATATTGTGCTTGGCAGTAGTTGAATGGGGGGCCCAAATATTGTGCTTGGCAGTAGTTGAATGGGGGGCCCAAATATTATTCTTGCACAGGGAACCTTTGGTGACTATACCCGCCATTGGGGGAAGTGATATGTTTAAGGACACTGTTGAGTCTGAGCGAGAGGGAATCTTCCCAGGACTCAGGGACATTATGGTGCTCAGCTGGGGTTGGGGAGCAGAACCATTCATGGTCACACATAGGTGGCGTCCCAGGTACAACGTACTGCTAAGCCAAGGATTCCCGAAGACTCCGGTGAGGTGGGTCCTTTCTCTTCTACGCACACACAGGGATATTTGGGTTGTCCACCAATAAACAGACAGACGCGTTTCTGCTACAATCTATTTATAGTTTGATTAACTTAACATGTACATTATACAATATACTTGGCACTCTACGGCCTGTGTTGACGGGCATTCGCCCGCTTCAGGTGGCTTTGAGTTTCCATACAAGTCTATAGGGAAGCAAAACCTCCTTGGAGCAGGTCAAAATAAGGTCAACTGCAGGTCAGAAGGAAGTCAACGGAAGGCCAGAAGGAGATCAACGGAAGGTCAAGTACAGGTCAGAAGAAGCTCAACTGCAGGTCTGAAGGAGGTCAACGGAAGGTCAGAAGGAGATCAACGAAAGGGCAGAAGGATATCAACGGAAGGTCAGAAGGAGATCAAAAGCAGGTCAGAAGGTCAACTGAAGGAGATCAACGGAAGGTCAGAAGGAGATCAACAGCAGGTCAGAAGGTCAACTTCTGGTCAGAAGAAGGTCTGAAGGTGGTCAACGGAAGGTCAGAAGGTCAGCTGCAGGTCTGAAGAAGGTCAACGGAAGGTCAGAAGGAGATCAACGGCAGGTCAGAAGGTGATCAACGGCAGGTCAAAGGGTCAACTGCAGGTCAGAAGGTCAACGGAAGGTCTGAAGGAGGTCAACGGAATGTCAGAAGGAGATGAAAGGAAGGTCAGAAGGAGATCAACAGAAAGTTCAGAAGGAGATCAACGGCAGGTCAGAAGGTCAACTGCAGGTCAGAAGGTCAACGGAAGGTCTGAAGGAGGTCAACGGAAGGTCAGAAGGTAAAGTGCAGGTCAGAAGGTCAACTGCAGGTCAGAAGGAGACCAACGGAAGGTCAGGTCAACTGCAGGTCTGAAGTAGGTCAACAGCAGGACACATGCACCTGTCAATGAATTGCGAATGATCTCCAACGCATCTCGCACTGACGCCATTGACACAAGCCTAAAGCCCATCCACGTAGGCTCTTATATGGTTTGATAACCACGGACTGATTCATTAAAAACCGTGTTAGAAAATTAGAACCACAGTGGAGTTATCTCCAGGAGACTGATTAGCCCTCCCAGTTCCTTTTATTGGGACTTCAGATGGCTTCCATGTTGTGGAGAACAGGATACTAGGAGGGCTTGAGTAGTTTAGCAAAACGAACTGGCCAGGGCTGACACCACTCCATAATAAAAGCTGTGTGTTGTCAGCCCACAACAGGAAATTTATATATAAATATAAATATATATCTGCACATGCACAATCACACATGAAAATGAATGTGTCCACATAGACATCATCACAGTAAAGTCAATGTACATCCGGGGTTTTTTTTTTCCTTCTCATTGAAATTGTCTGTGTGTCCATAATAGGTTATTCGCCGTCACAGATCTTCCATGATCTCTAAAATTGCTGCTTGTATGATGGGGAAGGCCGGTCTGTCTTCTGCTTTCTGTGGAGACACAACAAATGCGTTTTGGTATTGTGCAAAGTCAATGCGTATTCATTGCCTGTGCTCCTCAGCGCCATCTAGTGGCCATACTAATGCATATTTTTTTTCCTGTGCTCCTCAGAGCCATCTAGTGGCCATAATAATGCGTATTCATTGCCTGTGCTCCTCAGCGCCATCTAGTGGCCATAATAATGCGTATTTATTTCCTGTGCTCCTCAGAGCCATCTAGTGGCCATACTAATGCGTATTTATTTCCTGTGCTCCTCAGAGCCATCTAGTGGCCATAATAATGCGTGTTTATTTCCTGTGCTCCTCGGCGCCATCTAGTGGCCATAATAATGCGTGTTTATTTCCTGTGCTCCTCGGCGCCATCTAGTGGCCATAATAATGCGTATTTATTTCCTGTGCTCCTCGGAGCCATCTAGTGGCCATAATAATGCGTATTTATTTCCTGTGCTCCTCGGCGCCATCTAGTGGCCATAATAATGCGTGTTTATTTCCTGTGCTCCTCGGCGCCATCTAGTGACAACATTTCAGTATTACATTACATACATGTATATATCTACCCTGTTTCCCCGAAAATAAGACTTAGTACCATTTTTGGGAATTGCTAACAAATAAGACCTAGCTGTGACCATTCCCAGGGCCGGTGGTGGCATAAGGGGGGAACTTGAAGAGCCGCGGGAGAGAATCGCCGGTGCCAACGATGCCGGCGCTAGAGGAAGCGAGGCGGCACCGGAGGGAGCAGAGCAGCATAAGCCGATGTTTCCTCTATAGCGCCGGCTCCTGTCACAGGCGGAGTGATACCAAATGCACTCTGCCTCATTCCGGTTACCAAATTGCTCTTGGAAAGGTACGGCGCCCCTGATTGCCCTGATCACCCTATTCTTAACTTTGCCATGTTGGATTATTTAATTTGGATTTGCATTAACTTTGGACTGTTATACATAAAAAAAAAAAATATAAGACCTACCCTGAAAATAAGACCTAATGTGTTTTTTTGAGCCAAAAAAATATATAAGACAGTGTCTTATTTTCGGGGAAACATGGTAAGAAAATATGGCTGAGAACGTTCACTTTTTGGGTGGATTTGCACAGAGCGAATGATCAGAAATATTCGTAGGCTGAATGGCTCGGCAGACTGGCTATAAGTAGACCCCATAAAGTTCAATCATGGAGGCTCATTATCACAAGTGGGTGTTACCCAGGGGCGGTCTGCATGCAAATAAGCCTGTCTAGGAATGCCCACTGCTCCAGACTGACACCCACCCATCAAGGCATGCTATTTGCATAGCTCCTCCCAAGAGCCCGCCCACTGCCTTCATCAGGGCCTGAGGACTGCGGGGTGGCAAATCTGGATAGTTGCCATGAAAGTATGTATGTAGTAGGGATGCACTGATACCGGTTTTTCGGCATCGAGTACGAGTACCAATATTTCTCTTTCCGTACTTGCCGATACCGAGGACCGATAGCAGTACTTCCGCTAGCATGGAGCCGGCTTCCTGGGCAATCAGAAAGACAGGAGGTGGGTAATGACTCATCTCCTGCCTTGCTGATTGGCTGTGAAGATCCCAGCCAATCAGCATGGAGCCGGCTGTTTGGTCGCCTCGATGCTGAGTGGCCGGGAAGCCGGCTTCCTACCCAATCAGCATGGAATCCAGCTTTCCGACCAATCAGGAAATCGGGAGATAGGTCCTTACCCACCGCCCGGCTTCCTGATTGGCCGGAAGCCGCCTCCATGCTATTTGGCCAGCTCCATGCTGATTGGCTGGGAAGCCAGCTTCCTGGCCAATTAGCATGGAGTTGGTCAAACAGCATAGAGCTGGCTTTCTGGCCAATCAGGAAACCGGGAGACGGGCCATTACCCACCGCTCGCCTTCCTGATTGGCCGGGAAGCCGGCTCCATGCTGTTGGCTGACTTCCTGGCTTCCTGGCCAATGTGCATGGAGCCAGCCAAACAGCATAGAACCTGGTTGGCCGGGAAGCCAGGCAGCGTGTCATTACCCACCACCTGGGTTCCTGATTGGCCGGGAAAGCCGACTCCACGACTCCATGTTCCCTCGCGGCACTGACGGTCAGAGGAAGTTCCGGTATTGGGGGTAAGTATCGGAGCATTTAGGCCAGTGCAAGTACCCAAATACTCGGTATCGGCACCGATACTGGTCCCGGTATCGATGCGTCCCGACTATGTATGGATCAGGGCTGAGGGCTTGTGAGAGGAATACTGTGATGCTTTAAAGAAGCTATGTACAGCAACCCTGCTGGCCCCTCCCACCAGCCATGATCTGCCTGCATTGCAGAGGATAAGCACAGGGACCTAATGATGACATCATGGGATACATCATGGGGTATGTAATGACAATGGTGGGGGATGGGGGGACCAGGGGAGGCAAATATAAGCAGATTATGTATCCTTTGGCTACCCCGTGTATCATGCCATTCAGCCTTACCTCTGCCCAGCAGGTGAGCATCACATTGTACACTCTTTCCGTGGCCAGTTGAGGTCTGTAGAGCCGCACCCCCTTCATGATCTGCTCCACGATTTCACTATTGTTGAATCTTTCGTATGGCATCTTTCCAAACGTGAACACCTCCCACATTAAAACACCTAATGCCAAGAAACCAAAACAAGAACACATCATAAAAAAAAAGACTTACAGGTCTGGTCCCTCCCCCAGCCTGTGGTTGGACGGTGTCACTTCCTGTGAGGTGAACGGAAAGCTCAACTCACAGGAGAGCCATGATTGGGCAGAGTCATCATGACTTTGCCCCAACCATGGCTCTTACAGAGTACTGGGCCCTGATTGGGCAAAGTCTTGCACTGGACATGTGGTCAGGTGCAAGGCTTTAGCCAATTAGGGCTCACAAAGCACAGTGACCTGCGGGGAGCTAAAGGTCCGGTATTTTTTGGAAGGGGGAACCGCACACTTTTTGTTTTTTATAAATGCCATTTTTGCTGCAGCAGGTTCTATAGCATACAGATCCGCCCCCCATACATGTCCCCCAGGGCAGTACCCGGATCCCCATACATGTCCCCCAGGGCAGTACCCGGACCCCCATACATGTCCCCGAGGGCAGTACCCGGACCCCCATACATGTCCCCCAGGGCAGTACTCCGATCCCCATACATGTCCCCCAGGGCAGTACCTGGACCCCCATACACCTATTATGGCCAATAACTTGCATATTAGCGTTCTTTAAGGGGACATTTGTTACTGGAAGTTCTACCCCCATTGACTTGCATTGAGTACAAGTTCGAACTTTTTGGATGTTCTAAAGTTTGTATTTGAACCGAATTCGGGACTGCTCGGCCCATCACTAGTTATTATATGACATTTCTGTCTTTTGGTTTAGCTCCACCTTGAGCGTCACTGTCCAAAGAAAAAGGAGGTGTCAGTGGGCGTCAGTATATCTTACCGAATGACCAGACGTCAGATTTACTGCTGAACTTGCTGTACAGAAGAACCTCAGCTGCAGACCAGCGTATGGGGAACTTGGAACCCAGTGAACTTGTATATTCATCGTCTAGAACGTACCTGTTACCAGAAGGATGAGGTTGCAGCGCATTGTTATAATTGTGTAAAGCCCAATTGAAGCCTCAGTACTATTGCTATAATGCAGTCCGGTTGCATATTTTTATGGTACAGGATGCATGAAGGGTAAAATTCCCGGCGCTGGCAGCACCTTGGAGAGTCACGCCGCTATTTCCACACACAATGCAGTGAACCGGTGTTCTATTGAAAGCTCCAACTCGTCAAAATCTCCAACTACCTCACTGCCGGGTACTTTTCAAGTTGGAGATTTCGACCAGACGGCGTTAGACAGCAAAACACAAAGAACTGACGGAGCTTCTGCGCGGCTGCATTGTAACAATATTCAGCAGGTGGCAAACTCGACGAGTATTCTAAAAACGCTATGCGCGCATGCGCACCGCAACTGTACAGAGCTTTCTGAGCAACGCAAGGGAGGTAGTTGGCGATCTCGATGAGTTGGAGCTTTCGATAGAACACCGGATCTCCGGCAGTCCAGCACATCACCTGCATAGTTCTCAACTCAACAGCGCATAGGTTTCCTGAGCGGCACTGTTGGTTGGAGCTTCTCTGCCTTTTGGCTAAGATCAACTGTAGTATCTGTTCTTATCAGTTTCCGGTGGGGAAAAGAACCGTCCTTTTCGGGGGGATGGTTACTTAGTACTCGCTGGAGTACTCGTGCCGGGCTGCTTTTTGTGAGAGGGGGGGACAGCCTTGGTATACGGCCTCCTGATGGAACGGGTGCTTGCTTGCGCGGCAGAGGCCCGTGGTGCTGTGCCCCCTGGGGGTGGCGTCCCAGGGGTGCCAGAGGATCACTTTGGGTGTGGGACCCCAACACTGATTCACTGACACAAGGTCACAGCACTCCATGCATTTTCTGCACAACGCCTCTTGGACAGGCCTTCAGGGGCAATATTTTGGCACTCCGGCCCTTAAGGCCTGTCAGCGGGGTGCACTGGCACGTTTTTGCTTTTTTGATTGAAATTTCAGGACCAAAGCACCCTTGTGCACTTTTTTTAGGTGTGTTGTGATTTCACGATTCACTTTTTTTGTTGACAGGGGATTAGTTTTCGAACACGCTCCTCGGGCTTTAAAATGCAATGGGCAGGTGTCAGGATTCAGAGCACCCCCGTGTGCTGCTGGAGCCAGGTCCTGTGCTCGCCTGCGGGTGTGTCCCAGCTGCCAGTGATCATCCCATCACCTGGTGCTTCCTGGAGGGTTGTTAGGCCCTCCCTGCAGTCAGGACGTCGGCTCAGTATCTTGTCGTCGTCTTCCCCTGACTGAGTCCTGTGTCCTGAGCCCTGTGACCTGTACCCTGCAACCTGAGACCCGAGACCGGTTTGCAGTCCTGAGCCTCATACCTGTATGCAGTCCTGAACCCTTCCTTGCAGCCAGTTCCTGGATCCTGAGCCCTGATACCTGCTTTGTGGTTCCTAGCCCTGTTCCCGTTTGCTGTTCCCTCTGGCTGTAGGTGTGTTTTCGTTCTATTTGAGTTTGTTATTTACTGCTTGTGTAAGCTTGTGGGTGTTGGTGGGGTTTGTGTTCTCCTGTTTGCTGTATAGCAATAAACTGTGTGCCTATACCCTATCCAGTGTGGTCACATTCATTTGGTCTTCTTGCATGGGTACCTGCATGTGGTGTGGGGACGCCCGTGCACGGTACCCTGACAGCAGGGGGCATGTCAAAGCACTGGAGACCTGGGCGCTGCTTGTATGTGAGAGCAGGGGCGGTCCGACGCTCCAGCGTGCTGCTAGCATAGGATATTTGAATCCTTTGTGCAGTACTTGGTATGTAGGGTACACGGAGAAAGGGGCATGTGTATTACTGTATATGCAGCCGGATAAATACTGAGGCTTCCACCGGGCTGTAACGCACACATCTAAAAGAAGTCAGGCATACCTCGAGAGGCCAAAATCCGATACTTTTACAGCACCGTCCTCAGCAACCAGACAGTTTCGGGCAGCCTTAGGAAAACAAAACGTGCATGGCATCATTGCGATGGCCTACTGACCAGACATGACCTCAACACGTCATGTACAAGTCAACTCGAAATCTCTTACCAAATCCCGGTGTAGAACTTGCTTGGATTCCAGGTAACTCATGGCGCTACATACATCACTGCACATAGACAGCAGGTCTCCTTGACTGAGACGTGCACGGAATTCCTTCAGGTAGGTGAGGAGGCAGCCATTTGAGAGATACTCTGTGATGATGAAGATGGGGCGCTGCTTGGTGCAGACTCCATACAGCTGAACCAAATTTTCATGAGACAACTTCCTGGGGGTGGAAGTAGAAGATCCAGTTGAGGCAAAAAAAAGTAATGACTGATAACGGAGATGGCTTCATGCAAACAGTTCCCTTATATAGATCTTTATTATCACTAGAGGGATCTCCAGCAGGAGGAAGGAGGTCCTGATCCCCTATATAGATCTTTATTATCACTAGAGGGATCCCCAGCAGGAGGAAGGAGGTCCTGATTCCTCTATATAGATCTTTATTATCACTAGAGGGATCTCCAGCAGGAGGAAGGAGGTCCTGATTCCCTATATAGATCTTTATTATCACTAGAGGGATCTCCAGCAGGAGGAAGGAGGTCCTGATCCCCTATAAAGAGCTTTATTATCACTAGAGGGATCTCCAGCAGGAGGAAGGAGGTCCTGATCCCCTATATAGATCTTTATTATCACTAGAGGGATCCCCAGCAGGGGGAAGGAGGTCCTGATTCCTCTATATAGATCTTTATTATCACTAGAGGGATCCCCAGCAGGAGGAAGGAGGTCCTGATTCCTCTATATAGATCTTTATTATCACTAGAGGGGTCTCCAGCAGGAGGAAGGAGGTCCTGATCCCTCTATATAGATCTTTATTATCACTAGAGGGGTCCCCAGCAGGAGGAAGGAGGTCCTGATCCCTCTATATAGATCTTTATTATCACTAGAGGGGTCCCCAGCAGGAGGAAGGAGGTCCTGATTGCCCTATATAGATTCTTTAGTTAAACTTTGTTTAGAATACTGTGTCCAGTTCTGAAGACCTCACTTTTCAAAAGAGGTTTATCTCTACATACGAAAGGCTTCTTTTCACTGGACGTAGTGCTAGTAAACTCTGTAGGTTGTTGAACAAATAAGTAACTATGATTTAATCCCATCCAAGTATCATTAGTATCACAACCTATACATATACTATATTGCCAAAGGTAAGTGGACATCACCGAAATTATTGAGTTCAGGTGTTTCCAATGAAGGGTATTGTTATTGCGACACCATATCTGACATCATTGCATTGTGGAACATTTTCACACAGATAAGTGGTACTTACATCATGCACTGTGCTTCATTGATGAACTCATCCTCCGGCATGGAACCCTCTTTGACCATCTTGATAGCCACTTCAAGCTGTCCTCTCCATTTGCCATATTTCACCACCCCAAACTGTCCAGTACCCAACTCCTTCAGGAAAGTCAGATCCTTGGGATCGATTTCCCATGAGCCTCGAAGAAAGAGCAAATAGAAACGGTGAGTATCTACATTTTATTTTATATGATGACCACTTGAGTTACTCTCAAACCCTACTTTGATCCTATGTCATCCTTATAGTCCCACTCCGTGCTTTTGTTAAATTTATTCATGTAGTGGGGCCCCCCCCCCCCCCCCATTCCCCGCACGGCATGCATGGGTTCAATACTCATTCGACTGGTGGGGAAGGAATAGGTACAAATACTTGTCTTATTTCTCATTCCTGTTGGTGAGGGTGCTCTCCGCACACCTTTCAGCAGTCCCGGCCAATAAAGACAATGGTGCTTGTAGTAACTGCCACGGATGGCACCGTGCAAAACACAAAGTAGAAAGTCAGGTCACCAGTGTCACATCTTTTTGCCTTGAAGAAGGGACCCTGCGCGGCCCCCAAAACGTCGGCTCTTTTGATTATTGTGACACAATTGTCCAATAAAAAGGACTTATTCATTTTAATTATTTTGAGTGCTGGTGACCTGACTTTCTACTTTATTTCTCATTCCCACGCCAGCCATGACTTATGTTCCAGGGTCATTGCATGGAGGCCAGAACTAGGGTTCGGGAGCATGTGTCTGCACGTGTGTGCATGCCGGGTTTTGCTCATAGGGCCTTGCTTGGTACTGCATTGCCCACATGTTCCCAACCTTGGCCTGTTCCCGACTTCATCTCTGTCTGTCGCCTGGTACCACTCTGCCCGCCTGCTAACGACTCGGCTTGTATTGACCACGGCTTTCTGCATCCCGCTCACGGCACGTCAGCATCGCAGACACTGTTCTACCCGGCAATCCTGTCTTGTTCTGGCACTCCTGCCACTCCTGGTCCCTGCGCACCTGTCTAGCCATTCAGGAGTTCTGGGACCAGAGCTGCACGATGGACCATCATCATAAACTCAGACTCCTTCCAGGTATCTGACAGCCATGTTCAAGGGACGGTCATGGGTCTGGTTGGTCCTGCATTGTATATGATGACATCAGAGAGCTGCAACCGGCCAGGGAAGTGAAGGAGCTTTGAGGGACCAGTTGTACAGAGAGGAGAAAGTCCGTGGTAGTGAGGGATAAGGTATTATTATTTGTACTTATTCCTTTCCCCCTAGCAAAACAAACCTGTGGGAACCCCACTGCATGGGTAAACTTAACAGAAGCCCAGAGCCTGGCCATAGACCCTCAGCACCTCTCCATCACCTGTGGGCTAATGAGCCTGGCCATAGACCATCAGCACCTCTCCATCAGCTGCGGGCTAATGAGCCTGGCCATACACTCTCAGCACCTCTCCATCAGCTGTGGGGTTATGAGCCTGGCCATACACCTTCAGGACCTCTCCATCAGCTGTGGGGTTATGAGCCTGGCCATACACCTTCAGGACCTCTCCATCAGCTGTGGGGTTATGAGCCTGGCCATACACCTTCAGGACCTCTCCATCAGCTGGGGGGTTATGAGCCTGGCCATACACCTTCAGCACCTCTCCATCAGCTGCAAGCTAATGAGCCTGGCCATACACCCTCAGCACCTCTCCATCAGCTGTAGGCCAATGAGCATGGCCACAGACCCCTCAGCACCTCTCCATTAGCTGCGGGTTAATGAGCTTGGCCATACACCCCTCAGCACCTCTCCATCAGCTGCGGGTTAATGAGCTTGGCCACACACCCAGGGCTCTGGGCTTGTGATAGTTCAACCTAGCTCTGTCTGTCCAAGCCATTATCTTGCCTTGTATATCTATTTCAGCTTGTGTTGCTGTGTTCCTGTCAGTTTGATCTCCTGTTGCCTTGACCCAGATTTCCTTGGCTATGCCTGATTGCTGCCTGCCCTTGACCTCTGGATTCGCTTCTGCCTTCTCCCTTGGTACCGTGCTGACCGTCTGGCTTTGACCCCTGGCTTGTTTGACTTCGCTCCAGCTCTTGCTGCAGACCATGCTGACCTCTCAGCTGAACACCAGCCCTGCTCATGCTCCCAGGGACCAAGTTGCCGGACTTCTACCAGGTACCGTGTCTGAACACCTTGGCACCTATACTTCTCTCTGTCTACTCGCTCTCTGTCCCCACTTCCAGGGGTGTGAGACAAGAGCCGGAAAGGAGGCCTCCTCCGCTAATGGGTCCTCTACCAAGTACATGATAACTCGTTATGAAACCCTTCAGCTTTTTGATTTCTCTCACCATAGCCTAGGCCGGCAGTAGAAGGGGCGCTTCTCCCAGAACACACGGGATATTTCAGTCTTGATATTAAACCTGAAGAAGAATATGAAAGAAAATGTTGGATCTAATCGTCCGATCTGCAGACAACTGTACACGCACTCATGTAACCAGCGACGCATTCCCCAGCAAAAACATTTCAATACTGCTAGTACAACCACCTGAAGTCTGTCTTTGCATTGGCTTCCCCCTTATTTCCTGCACACCAGATTGAGAGAGTGAGTGTGAGGCAATCAGGACTATACTGATTGTGGACCGCTAGGGCCTGTAGGCACACAGCCCTTTTGTGCCCAAGAGGACCTCCTCCTCCTCCTCAAGGGTCACATGTTTTACTGGAGCAATCCTTCCTCAAAGTTCACATCAGAAGCACTGAAGTCATTCAAAGTCCCTCTCTCATCCAACTCATCTCATACATGCTCTCCCAAGAACTCTACATTAGAAAGCTAGAAGGCTTCCGAGTCACCGGTGGGAAGGGGTTACAAGGTGAGCTGACCTGCGCTCACTGCTGGGAGGGGGTATTAGGATGAGAAGAGCTGTTGAATCACTGCTGGGAAGGGGGAGCAGCGGGAGCTTAGCTGCTGAGTCACTACTGGCTGAGAGTAGCAGGGTGACCTGAGCTGCTGAGTCACTGTAGGGAGGGGGAGCAGGGTAGGCTGAGCTGCTGAGTCACTGTAGGGAAGGGGAGCAGGGTAGGCTGAGCTGCTGAGTCACTGTAGGGAAGGGAAGCAGGGTAGGCTGAGCTGCTGAGTCACTGTAGGGAAGGGAAGCAGGGTAGGCTGAGGTATTTGCTGGGAGGGGGAGCTGAGCCACTGATGGAAGGGGGGAGCAGAGTGAGCTGAGCTGCTGAGTTACTACTGGGAGAGGGGAAGCTGAGCAGTTGAGTCGCTTCTGGAAGGGGTAAATGAAGATATGTTGGGGGACTGCTGGAGTGCTGGATCTGGATTTTGGTAGGTATTGAGATCCATTGGTATTTTAGTTGAGAGGCTGCACTCTAAGATCCAATGGGTCTAAATAAGAGGTCCCCGGGTGGCCAGTAGTAGGTTTGGTAGAATGAGGACCATGCCAGACGTATGGTTAGTCCAGTTCAATTTTTATTTGTCATAAAAGGACAATGGATCGTCATTGCCTTCTGGGGGCTTAACCTATCCCCCATTGTTAGGGTTAGGGAAGAAACCTGGACTGAGTGCAGTAGGCTTCTCTAGCATGGATTAAGGACCTGCTGGTCGTCCCAGGTCCAGCAGTCCCCACCAGTCCGATACACCGCCCCACCACCCTGTTCCGATCAGTGTTTTAGCAGATGGTGTTTTAACCCTTTCCTGCAGTAACATAAAAAAGAAAAACCATAAAAAAGAAACGTCCATTATTTATTACTGAGCGCGTAGCCTCCTGACTATGAGGACACCAGGAACTTACCAGCGGCATTGTACTGGTGATAGGTGATCAGTTCCGGGATCGTGGAGAAAACGTGTTTCTCAGCCAAGTAATATTGGTTCACAGATGTCTCACATACCACGTAATGGCGGATAAATCCTTCCCTGCGAAGAATAACTTCATTAGGAACATTTTACATAACACCCAACGTAGATCCTGTCATGTTGGAGATGCTTTCCATTACCCCGATGACTTGGCGTACACAGACACCGTGTACTTCCCCGCTTTGCTTGAATCTCTCACGATGAAGCCTCCTTCTTTGTCCTGCAACAGAATCATTGGGCTGTCAGACTGGTTACTGATACATAAATCAATGACACATAATAAAAAAAAAACAAAAAAAAAACGAATCAATACAACTGGACTTGCCGTATTTTTCTTGAAGACGTTTCGCCGGTCATCCGACCAGCTTTCTCAATTTTGAATTGAGAAAGCTCAGTTCGGAATCGAGGAAGCTGGTGGGATGGCCAGTGAAACGTCTTCAAGAAAAAGACAGCAAGTCCAGTTGCGTTGATTAATTTTTTTTTAGATAAACCATCAGAGCCGGATTTACTCTCTCTGCTGCCCCAAGGCCAGGTTCCTCAATGCGTCCCCCTACCCACCAACCCGATCTCCGTGACATTGCTGAGATGACTTGTACAAAACAAGCGGTGGCTTCCCCGCTGTACATTTAGCTCTACTTGCCCAAAGCTGGGCTAAATGTAGAAAACAACTACCGCCCGTTGCCCAGAACTGCTGCCCCTCTACTCTCTGCTGCCCCTCTACTCTCTGCTGCCCCAAGGCCAGGCCTTGGTTTGCCTTCTGGGAAATACCATGACCTGGATGAATGAGAACCTTCACCGGCAAATCAGTGACCTGTCCTGTCACAATTGACACTGTCAGCTGCTACAGAAAGAGTTAGGTTGGCCAGGAATCCTCATCAAAATTCAGCTATGGGGCTTTATGGTTTGTACCTAATCCCTTGATGTCTTCTATACTATATGGCTAAAAAATTGTGGCCACCTGACCATCACACCTATATGAGTTTGTTGTGTGTCCCATCCCAAAACCATGTGCCTTAATATGGAATTGCCCCTCTTTACAGGTATAACAGCCACCACTCTTTTAGGAAGGCTTTCCACAAGATGTTGGGGTTTATCTGGGGGAATATGTGCCCATTGAGCCAAAAGACCATTTGTGAGGTCAGGTACTGATGCTGGATAAGAAGACTTGATCTTTGCTCACAGTTGGCTTTCCAAGTCATCCCAAAGGTGGTCAGTAGGGTTGAGGTCAGGGCTCTGTAGAGGACACTCGAGTTCCTCCACACCAAACTGGTCACAACATGTCTTTATGGAGATGGCCTTGTAGAGGGCTCTGTAGAGGACACTTGGGTTCCTCCACACCAAACTGGTCACGTCATGTATTTATGGAGATGGCTTTGTAGAGGGTTCTGTAGAGGACACTTGGGTTCCTCCACACCAAACTTGTCACATGTCTTTATGGAGCTGGCCTTGTGCACCTAAAGTCAATCATTTTGAGGGTTTTCCATGTTTTTGTGGCCATATAATGCAGCTGTTCAGGTGCGTTCTTTATCCTTTATCCTTATTAATTCCCACCAACCATGCCCCAGGTGTTCACCTCTCTTCTGAGTAGGTCCTCTGCCGAGCTCCTTGTCATATTTTTGGAGTACCATCTGTGGGATAAAAACACATGATGAGAAGGGAAGTATACAAAGCTCAAACACTTCAATGACAGAGATGCTCCATCTATGGGGTCTTCACCAATTCACTTGACAGTTTCATTGTCACACGTCGGCTCGAACTATGAGGCTGAGTGATTTTCACTCACCTCATAGTTCTCCTTTAAAGGGTGGTGACAGGGCCTCTTTAAATGTTTATACCAGTTATATTTATGATATGTGAAGACTTACTCGTATATTTCCAGGGGGTCCTTAGCTTCCGTCACATAGTTGCCAGGTATGTATCCCTCTTGCCTGAAAACGATGTAAGACAGCGATACCATTAAACCAGAACGCAGTACATTTAGTCAATGCCGAGCGTTGTCACCCTGAGACAGGAAGTGTGTTACTGGCAGGATCACCGGGTGAAAAGAAAGAGAAAACAGAAAAACAAAGAGAAGAAAACTAATGCAGCAGCAGCATCGATAAACTGTGGAGCTGCGATATATTACATTGTTCTTCTTGGGATTAGATGTACTGTAATCAGATATTTATTGACTGTTTATTATGTATTATATTCGATACATTGTTCAGAGCTGGAAGTGCTCAAAGCAGATCACGTCTGGGTACCCATTCAATATATGTCTACACTCTATGGATCTGGCAGCTGTGGACCTGGAAGTGCTCAAAGCAAATCACTTCTGGGTACCCATTCAATATATGTCTACACTCTAAGGTTCTGGCAGTTGTGAACCTGGAAGTACTCAGAGCAGATCACTTCTGGATATCCATTCAAAATATGTCTGCACTCTAAGGATCTGGCAGCCGTGAACCTGGAAGTGCTCAGAGCAGATCACTTCTGGATATCCAGGTCACTGCCAGGCCCCTGTTAACGGGGCCTGGCAGTGACCTGGCGGGTGTATGAGGAGTCGTGGCCGGGGGCCGAGGGAGAAGCGGCCCGGCCGTCGGAGGCTGCGGTGCCGCTCCAAGAAGATTCGGTGGCTGCAGAAAGACGCGGACCTGGGCCGGTGGAGGCTGCACATGGGATGGCGGCTCCAAGAAGCATCGCGGCTGCAGATGGGATGGGACCGAGATAGACACGGCCCCGGTCGGCGGAGGCTGCGGGCGGCTCAAGTAAGATGCAGGCTGGAAGTAAGATGCAGAATGGAAGCAGGCTGGGGAGCTGCAGGTAAGAAGAGCAGCATGTGTGCAGGGAAAGGGACCCTCCACAGTCCATCATAGATCATGCACAGCCCACCTTAAAGTCTCTGTGCAAGGTCTATGGTGGGCTCTGGGGGGTCTCTGGTGGGGTTAAAAGCCCAAAATTGGTTTTTGGGGGGGGGGGGGGGGGGTGCCGAGTTTCGTTTTGCCTAGGGCAGCACGAAACCTAAATACACCACTGTCTACAGTCTAAGCTTCCCCTGGGTACCCTACTAAGGTAGGCCTGTTGTGCTGTTGGAGCGACCTTACCCCAGCCTTGGTACATTTGGCCTTTTGAACAAGCGTTTGGATCCCGGTGCCTCCTAAATATTTGTCGGAAAGGAACACATTGAGCACTATCTGAAATGGAAGCAGTGCAGGGGAAACTTCTGGGGTCTAACAGACTCCTGATGTCTCCAAAAAGAGGGCCCGGCATAGGTGATGCATCGTATGCAATGCCATTCCTTCCAACAGGTGTGCTTTGCAGCACAGCCCAACATGCATTGCGGTGCGTTACTAAACATGGTGCATTAATGGCACCGCATTCTACTCTTCACCGCAGCACCATATGGACCCTAAGTGGGGAAGGGGGAGGACAATTGTCTTTATATGTTGTAGCAATAACCGTCATCTTCACTGGAAACACCTGAACTCATGGAAGGGGGCTCCACATACAGAGGACTATGGGCAGAGACGTCAAGAGATATTTTGAGGTTGTGCGTTTCACGATATGAAAGTCTATACGTGAATGAACAAGTCATTGAACAACATTGAAATCACCCGTTTTTGTTTCTTGCCCTCAGCCAGGGTTGGCCACTGCCTTCGTCCAGCAGCACGTACTCTTCACCCTTGCACAGGGGCAGGTCCTGACCACTGATTGGCGTGAAGTCATACAACGCGACCACTTTGCAGACTGTCGGAGCGCTGGTCGACGGAGTGGGCGGTAGCGGTTTCGCAGATTTTGCCTGCACGAAAAGCACAATAACAAAATGTTTTTTTGGGTATCCAACAAAAATATGAAGCTAAATTGAAGATCGTCCTCTGAGGAACGTCCATCGGAACATTCAAGAGACGCCTGTGAACGTTGTCAAATGAGGATTCCGAGAACGGGGAGAGAACTATGTGAGCAAATAAAGACAAGACGACTACGATATATAGGAGCTTAGAGAACTGGGGAATGCCTGGCCTTCGCCAAAGCTTCTGGTGGTGGAGCTGTGTGGCTGACAACTGGCCAACTGGCCTTCACCAAAGCTTCTTGTGGTGGAATTGTGTGGCTGACAACTGGCCTTCGCCAAAGCTTCTGGTGGTGGAGCTGTGTGGCTGACAACTGGCCTTCGCCAAAGCTTCTGGTGGTGGAGCTGTGTGACTGGCCAAGATGGATTTTAGATGTACATCTTTTCAACTGGATGCATAGAGCATCATTATTATTAGGTGCCATCAAGTTGATGTCATCTCCTGGTGACCACATATACAGTGTTCTCCATAATAATAATCTGTCTTCTGTTTGGGTCCTACGGCTGAACTCCAGGTAGGAATCATGTTGCATACTTAGTCCACCACCAGAAGCTGTGGTGAAGGCCAGTTGGCCAGTTGGCCAGTTGTCAGCCACACAGCTCCACCACCAGAAGCTTTGGTGAAGGCCAGTTGTCAGCCACACAGCTCCACCACCAGAAGCTTTGGAGCTTGTGGGAAGGCCAGCTGTCAGCCATGGAGCTCTACTCCCCATTTGCTTACTTAGTCATCCTGTTCTTGAAAGACTTACCTCCATCTCATCCTTGGCATCAACACCGAATTTCATAGGTTTAACTCTAGGTCTGAGCTTGTGTGGGTGTGGCCAAAATGGAAGTGTATCTAAAACCCAAGAACAATGATGGACTATATTCCATACCTGATTGGCCGCCAGAGACCCTGTAGAGCACTGTAGTAGCCGGAGCTACAACAGTGCCGGCCCGGATCTTCTGGGTCCAGCACTGTGCTGTGCGCCTTCCCCTCAGGGGTCGCTCGCTCGGCACAGCGGCCATTCAGGGAACGCCTCGTATTTTTTATCAATGAATGCCAGATGTTCTCTGATTGGATGAGGGGCAACACAACCCCCAAATTTAATTCGACTTTACCCAGTCACTCAGTTGTCAGCCACACAGCTCCACCACCAGAAGCTTTGGTGAAGGTCAGTTGTCAGCCACACAGCTCCACCACCAGAAGCTTTGGTGAAGGTCAGTTGTCAGCCACACAGCTCCACCACCAGAAGCTTTGGTGAAGGTCAGTTGTCAGCCACACAGCTCCACCACCAGAAGCTTTGGTGAAGGCCAGTTGTCAGCCACACAGCTCCACCACCAGAAGCTTTGGCTCCAGTTCTCAAAGTCTCTATATGTCGTGGTTGTCTAGTCCCCATTTGCTTACTTAGTCATCCTGTTCTTGAAAGACTTACCTCCATCTCATCCTTGGCATCAACACCGAATTTCATAGGTTTAACTCTAGGTCTGAGCTTGTGTGGGTGTGGCCAAAATGGAAGTGTATCTAAAACCCAAGAACAATGATGGACTATATTCCATACCTGATTGGCCGCCAGAGACCCTGTAGAGCACTGTAGTAGCCGGAGCTACAACAGTGCCGGCCCGGATCTTCTGGGTCCAGCACTGTGCTGTGCGCCTTCCCCTCAGGGGTCGCTCGCTCGGCACAGCGGCCATTCAGGGAACGCCTCGTATTTTTTATCAATGAATGCCAGATGTTCTCTGATTGGATGAGGGGCAACACAACCCCCAAATTTAATTCGACTTTACCCAGTCACAAATTATGGTAACGGAAGACCAATGCATTGTGTTACCAGGAACGGTACCTCAGATGGAGCAAGCGGAAGCGGTTTGTGGGATCTACGTGAATGTTCACTCTTCAAAACTGGAAAAGAAAAGATATTAAGTTACATATATATTAAAAGAATTTAAAAAAGGACAAATTATATAAAATTGTATTTTTATCTACAGTAACTATAATTGAAAAAAACAAAAACAAAACAAAAAATCAAAGTAGAAAACATCCCTTTTTTTTTATTGTATTCCATTTTTTTTATTTGCTGTAAAAATAATTCTTGGTGTCATTTTTTAAAAGGACAAATTATATAAAATGGTTCAATTATTTTCATCTACAGTAAATATAATTACAAAAATAATAATAATAATAAAGTAGAAAACAGCTCATTTTTTTTTTATTGTATTCCATTTGTTATTTGCTATAAAAAAAATAAAACGAAATAAAAAATAAACACTGATCAAAGTAGAAAAAAAAAGTGATTTTTTTCAACTTCTTTTTTTTTTCCTTTTTTTTTGATTGAATAAAAATGATAAAATCATTTTCTTTTAACAATATGGTTAAAAAAAAAATCCTTGTTTGTTCTATTAAAAAAAAGATATATTTGTATTAATTTGTTATCTTAAGTAATGACAACATTAATGCTGAAAAAATGTATTAATA